CAGTTATCAGATTCAGCAGGTGAGTGTATAGCATTTTCTTTTTAAGACCCTGAAAAAGTAAATCTCTTTCATTATCTGCAGGTAAAACTGTATCTACATCCAGTGAACAAGGATAACGGTAATAACAATATGCAGAAAAAAGTGGTTCAGTGAATATTCTTGTAATCCTACCTTCTGCTCAGAACCCACCTGCCTAACTATCAGGCAATGTCACGAAAGATTTTGATTAATCGTCTCCCACCTGATTGATTGGGCTAAAAATCCTCACAATTGTCAGAGTAATGAGAGTTGAAAAAAATCATCAAGGTGACAGAGATAGTTACGAGACGATTGGGTCTGTCCAGTCACCTGTCATAGTGAGGTGTGTCGGGAGAACCTTCACTTCGAGAATTTTAATGCATATTGCGAATGATCCACTTACGATCGGAGCTACAGGCGCCATAATGAAAAATGTATTGGGGTGCAAGAGGAGTCAGTTTTGAGAGAGAAAGAGAAAGAAAAGTGAAGCATGACAAACATAATTTTATCTTACTTTTATGCTCTTGGCTATAGCATAAATGATTTTTTGGGTAATGGGCCTAAAAATAGACATTAAGCTTATTTTGAGGGGGATGCTTCTCATCCATGGAGTTAGGGACAGACTCGTCTATTCATGATGTAATAGGACTTCACTGTTATGATGACATATAACCAGGTTGTTCTACTTTCATTTAGCCTATTGAACTTCAAAATGAAATTGACTTTTTCCAAGACTATTCTGATGGCTGTTAGTGGTTAGGAAGTCTTAGTTATCATAAATAAAAGGGTGGAATTTTGGATTTACATCTGGTAGGTACAATAATATCCAGTAAATTACATAATGATGTTTCTAGCTATATCTGATATCTCACATCGCACTTTCACTGGCTATAAATGGTGACTTCATTAGCTCCACCCATTTTTGACTCCAACAATTTGTTCTATATTTAATAAAATTCAGTAATAACAATGGTAAAAACATAAAAAAACAGAAGAAAATAGAAAAAATACTTGTAAGGAATAAAGGTGATGCAACAAGACTTAGCTCTTGGGTTTCTACCTAGAATTTTCATCAAGATAGATTGAGCATACCTGTGTAACGATACTTTAGTTATAAGGGTCCGTTTAACATACGCCCACACCCTACCACATAAAAATATATACATATATACATACATATATATATATATATATATATATATATATATATATATATATATTATATATATATATATATATATAATATATATATATATAATATATAATATATTAATATATATATATATATATATATATATATATATATATATATATATAATACATTATATACATATAATATATAATATATATATATATATATAATATATATATATATATATATATATATATATATATATCATATATACATATACATACATATCATACATATATATATGTACATATATATATATACATATATATATATATATATTATATATATATATATATATATATTATACATGTCTTTATACATATATATATATATATATATATATATATATATATAAAATCTACGTCTTTATACAAATATGTATATATATAACACAAACAAATAAAACTTTCAAATGTACTTCAGTAATTAGTGCTTTACCATTTCTTCAACTTTGACCTCGTCTGCAATCGCCTTTGCAGCCTCCAGGTGGCCCTTCTCCCGGGCGAGGTCCGAGGGCGTCTTGCCGTCGTGGGTGCGGGCGGTGGGCAGGGCGCCGCGCTCCAGCAGGACCCCGATTTTGGGTCGGTCGCCCTGCTCCGCCGCCACGTGGAGCAGCGTCCGGCCCCGCTCGTCCTGGTAGTGCATGTCGCAGACGCCCAAGTCAACGGCAGTGGCCAAGGCTTCCGCGCTCGCGTTCTTCTCTCTGCAGTAAGCGTGGTAGAAGTCTCCGCTCTGTTTGTATCGGCTCATGCAAATATTCTGAAATGAAGGTAATTGGTTGTATATCATACATATGAATTGAAACTGCTCTTTGACTTATTTAATTTATATTATAAGATGATTTTCTCCAAAAGCAAGTCATTTACCGTTAAAGGTTTCTGATCTTGTAAAGAAGCTTGATGTGTATTTTTGTTGAGCCACCAGGCTGTGTGGACATGGCCGCGGATAAGAGCTGTGTCCTCTGCACTCAAATTCTCCTTGTCAAGTGCGTTGACAAGAGTTTCTTCTAGTTCAACAAGTTTCTGGACAGTGGACAGCCTTCCATAGAAGGAAGCCTTGTGAAGGACTGAGAGTCCCATATCTGTCCGAATATTTATATCTGCTCTCTCTTCCAACAGGAGCTCGACTACCGAAGTGTGTCCGCAAAGAGCGGCATAATGAAGAGGTGTGTTATTTCGTTCGTCTGTTGCATTAGGATCGGCTCCATGAAGGACCAACAGTTTGACCAAAACAGCGTCACCTGTGAGAGCAGCATAATGCAAAGGTGTGTGGTGGGTAGGCGTTTCACTTTTTACGTCTGCTTTTTTCATAAGCAGCAACTCAACAACTTCTGTATGGCCCGCCAGTGATGCACAGTGGAGGGGCGTGTTACCGTCCGGCGAAACAGTCTCAGGGTTCCTTAGAACATCCAACATTGGCTGTTCCCGTCCGTGTCTTGCGTATGCAAGAAGTGTTTGATTCATTGCACTTGGATGATGTAAAGAAACACCTTTCTCCTCAGAGAACATTTTCACAACTTCGATCTTTCCATTTATTGCAGCAAGATGAAGTGGGGTGTCACCAGAATCATTTGTTTGGTTTGGGTCAGATTTTCTATCCAGCAATAATCTTGCAACATCGGTGTGTCCTTCAAAGGCTGCAAAATGGAGTGGAGTGTAATTGCTGCTGGTAGAAGCAGAGGGGTCTCCGCCATCTTCCAGCGATCTGAGGACGTCGCCAGCGAGTCCTCTCCTTGCCGCTTCGTGAATGTCTCCCATGTTCCTCAAATCCAGTACGGACTCTCTGTTCTCGGTCTTCTCTATAACATCTTGCACTAGCGAGCCACTCCTGGTCGAAACGCTCTTACCCGTTTTCTCTTCCGGATGACCATCAGTCGATTCTGCTTTGAGGTTTACTGGGACGGAGCTGTTTTCTGCTCTCTCGGCAGTATTCTCAGATGGTGGCAGATCTTCCAGAATTTTTTCGTCTGAACTGAATTCGGTTGTATGGTTCGTTTCGCCGTCAACTATTTCCTTTTCATTCTCGTTAAATGCTGAATCTGGAGACGCTGTGATTAAGGTAGAAGAAATAAGTTAATATAGCATATGATCACTTAAAAAACAAATTGGTTAGCTGTTTAAAAAAAAACGTAGATTGTACACACAGGAATGATTTTAATGGAGAAAAATTATTCATACTATAAATATGTATAAATATGAATGTAGATATGACCATATATATATATATATATATATATATATATATATATATATATATATTTATGTATATGTATAAGAATGTGTGTGCATATACAAGTTAATATTCATATTCCCTCTTACAGTGATTCAATCCCATGTGTTATATTCGGTCTAAAGCAGGTAAATTCTAGTCTATGTAATTGAACTTACAGTTGGGACTTGCTGACAGTTCCGGGCTTATATATTCATTATTTTCCGCACCTTCTTCTGGGTCTTGTTCGTCAAATGAATAATATTCATTTTCGGTCATTTCTTCCACGTCTTGTCCATCATATATATAGCTTTCATTTTGGAAAACAAATTTCTGAAAGATGAAGAATTCAGTAATCTATTACTGTGTTACACTATTAAACCGTCCATTTCTCCCACGTTAATTCATATGTTCCTATAAAGTCCACCTTAATTCAATAATATCTTTGGGCATCTATCCGTTCTAACGAAGCAGTTAACCGTATACGAACAAGATTAAAGAGCTATATTTTGTCCGGTTTACAGTCCTGAACATGTAGCTAAAGATAATTATTTTTATTATGATCATTCTTTTTCTTTTTTTAGAGAAACACAGTGGCGTTTACTTGTTCACTGTCTGGGGATATAATTCTTTCTCTCCATTTGTCGTCCTTTCTTTCTCATTTATTCATTAATAAACTTTCTTGCAGCTATTCGTTCTTTCACGCTTTTTCTCTCTCTTGTTCTTTCTTTCCCTCAATAGTTTTTCACACTCTCCTTCTTTACTTCCTTTCATTTATTTATCCTCTTGCTCTCCTTTCCTCTTTCTGTCTGTATGGCTGACCTGTAGGCACCACTAGCTTCCCTAGCGACTGCTTACGTTTTCTTACTTAAAACCCATAGTTTTCCTCTCTATACTTACTCTGCTTCCTCTTGCCACTTCCCTTTGCTCGTCTGTGACATCAAGGCTTCCCAAGGCTGGCGTGAAAAAACACTTGCAAGGGACTGTACTGGATATGCCGTTTGCCTTTAGTGTGTACTAACTATACCTATAATATATCTGTTTAAGTCTATTTGCACTACAAGACTATCATGTTTTTTTTTTAATAAGAAAAATATTTAATAAGCACATTTCATAACAAAAGCGACTTATATCTTACCTCTTTATAAATACTTTTGCTGCCATTCGGGATATCATTTATATTAGGCAGAAATCCTGAATCTCTGTGGAATATCAAACACTGTTTGTATATATATATATATATATATATATATATATATATATATATATATAGAGAGAGATTTTGCATAAATACATACAAATTCATTACACACACTACGCAAGCTCATGGGTATACTCTGCTCATAGCTATGATCTTCGTATGATTTGGTATCTTGGTCAGCGAGTTAGTCAGTCAAATACTGATCTTATTCTTTGAAAAAAAGGGAAGTTCTCCTTACCTTCTCTGTCTATAGATGACCAACAGTCCCATCATTACCGGCAGCGCAAGAACGATAACAACTACAGTCCACAGAAGCTCATTTATGGTCGGAACATCACTTGTTTCGTGTGTTTCTGCCATAACCGTGCCCCACCCTGCAGAAGTCTTTGCCTGGAAGATTGCCATACATATACACACATTTGTTTTTTATGATAAGGTAAATCACGTTATAAAATACTTCAGATATATATATATATATATATATATATATATATATATATATACACATATATGTTATATATATATATATATATATATATATATATATATATATATATATATGTGTGTGTGTGTGTGTGTGTGTGTGTGTGTTAACCTTCTACACTGACATTGGTAGGCAGAAGTGACACTAGTTAAAACGGCTGACTCTTTATCCTTGAGAGTTAACACACGAGTTGAACAGAACACGATGCAAAACAGTGCTGGTGGAGCACGCGGTCGCAAGCCCTAGCGAGGGCAGCCGCCGCGTGGAGGTTAGCGGAGGTCCTCGCGGTACGAGAGTGAGAGTGAGACCGTCCCGCGGCCAGCCCGCCCTGGCTAGCGGAGAGGCCAGGTCGCCCTCGGAGGGAGGGCGAGTCAGAGTGCGACTGAGGTCAAGCTGGGTCGCCCTTTTATGTGCGTGTGAGAGCCATTTCGCTACCCAAAATAGCGAAAGAGATTTCTGTTTTTTTTTCGAAAAAGAAAAAAGAAAAAAAAAATGCAGGGTTCCACCTGAAATTACTTGGAAATTTGCGGTTTAAAAAGAGCAATCCTGTTTCAGATAAAACATTGCGGGGATAGCTGTTAGGGGATCAAAATGAACTCACTTGACCTTGCAGCTACATTCATGTGCTGCCTTTTATTTATTTATTTTTTGATATAGTGCTTTGCGAAGACCGCGCTTAGGCCTTATTGGTTGACTTATCCGTAATCGTTTCTCCTGATTTTTTATTTATTAATTTTGATTAACAACCTGCTTTCCCTTAAAAGGATTCCATAGTACTGGTAAGTACTCTATATACACCCAACAAGCCAATCAAATCGCTTGAAACTTAGTACACAGGGTCATAGAGCATATAACTATGAAACATCAGCGATTTCTCCTAAATCAAATAGTCCGGTTTTTTAAAAAGGTTTGAAGGTGAAAAAGGCATTCAGAAAAAAAAAAAAAAAAAAAAAAAAAAAAAAAAAAAAAAAAAAAAAAGGTATTTGCTTAAGACAGTACATTTTATTTTTAAAAATGTGACATGGTTTCGTACGAGGCAACCTTAACAAAGCACTCAGTCCTTCAACTGCTCAGGTGTTTGGCAAAGTCTATGACTTTTTTTTTTTTTTTTTTTTTTTTTTTTTACCGATTTTTACTATTACCAAGTTTCTGTAAAGGATTTTATGAATGGAACATTTGCGAGGTTTCCGGATTCTTGGGATTTCCAAAGACTTTCATTGGGATTTGGATTTTCTAAAAAATTCTTAAGGATTTCCAGATTTTTTTCGGATTTCCAGGTAGGGTGTACAGGAAGGCCCCTGTGTGTGGGTGTGTGTGCGTAGAGAGAGAAATGTGAATGTAGCTTTATCGATACCACAGACTTGCATTAGCGTTTCTAACATATATCTCTAGAACTTACCATGAGTGAAATGTTATACTGTGATTTGCTCCGAAGACCTGTGATCGTGTAGCTTGTCTGGTTTGCAGGTAACTTTTCCTTACCGCCATCAGAGGTATCCGCTACATTCATCCAGCTCAAATTATAGAACAGTAGTTCTCCGCGAGGTTCAACCGGGTGTTCCCACAACAGATGGATGCTGTCTGGCGACGGCTCTATGTCTGTTACTACTGGAGGTCCTGGAACTGCCAAAATGGATGGTCTTGCTAAACTGTAATTATATATATACATATGCATTTATATACATAGATATACGTTTTGAACTCGTCAAGATTACCTCATGAGGCGAAGCGATAACTGAAACTGATAATCTCAGTTATTTTTCGCCTGCTGAACTCTTGACGAGATCATTTCTTATTGTTTTTTTCTTTCATCTTTGTGCACACATTACTATACTTGCGCGCGCACACACATACACGAGACGATCTCCAAGCTGAAGGTTGGTAACGCAATTCAGTATCGCTAATGAAATTCTGAAATCTAGTAGTGAATTTCTGGCTGAAGGATCGCGTCTGTCCGGCTGCCATCTGGCAAACTGGTACCACTCCCCAGACCTGTTGAAGGGTATGGCAATTCCTCTCTTTAAGAGGAAAGAACACTCGATCTGCATCAGCTCAGAATACCAGGCAAGGTGTTTGCTCATATCTTTCAGAGAGATATCAGAAACCACCTGCTGAGATACCAGATACTGGCACAGCCCAGATTTACAGCTGACCTTACCCTCCTGCTTCATCTCATGAGTGTCATTCTTGGCTGTTTGCTGGCTATTATTGACTCAAATTGCTGCATCAGGCTTCTTGCTGGGATAAGCTAACGGTATTTAAATCATTTTAAAAACTTTTCTAAAACATACCAATTGCTTTTGAAGACCTAGAGTCATTTGTCGCTAAATACAGACTTCCCAATAATGTGTAGGCCTACTTGTCGGGTCAGTGACCAAGATAAAGAATTCACCCGACATGATTTTTACAGATATATTGCGTGCCAGAATGATTTCTTTGCACACTGCCCATAAGTAAACAGTCGCGTCGACCAGCAAATATCAAAGTCTAATGTTGTTGACAAATGATTGCATCGGTCAGGTGATGGCTTAGAAGTCTTCTGGACTAAGACCAAGAGGACTTGATCTTGCTAACCTCTTCTGTCATTGCATGTAATGACAAAGCTTTAGATAGGTTCGTAGTGGAGCTCAAAACTGGGCTTTTCGGTTGGGAAATCGAGAAATGGATAAGCCTGAAATTACGAAATACATACCATCTTCTTCAGTGACAGCACTAGAGCAGTGTCCAGTAGGTCCATATCCTCCTTCCGTTTGAACTGCTACACACACAGTGTAATTGGTATAAGGTTTTAGGCCGCTGATGGTATAATTGGAGGTGCTGGACACATCTGTCTCGTTTTGTTGACTTTCTCCCATACTCTGCCATATCCACGTGACCTTGATACTGGTGATGGTGCACTTTCCATGTGGTTTTGGCGGTGTCCATGTTACCTGAAGCTGATCTGATATATTGGGCACCATGGCAGCAACCACATCATCTGGGGCTTCTGGGGCTGGAATGTCACATCTCTATTTGAATTTCATGTTGATATTTGTATTTACTGAGATTATTCCACATATTGTTCTAAGGAAGTTCTTAGCCTACGGACTTGATACATATAATCCTTACCTACTGCCATTGTTGTATTTCCGGCACTTGTGTCTCCAAAACCTTTTATAGTCTTAGCCATAACAGTTATTTCGTGGGATACACAAGCTGTTAAATTTGTTATTCTGTAATGTGTTTCGTTATAATTCAGGTCTGTAGAATCAACTTGATTTCCGTATCTCCATTTTATCTTGTATTTCGTGATGACACCATTTGGGCGAGGCGGTGGGAGCCATTTAACTAAAAGTGACGAAGGTGTTACAATATCCAGCGAAGTAATTATCGCAGGACCAGGAACTGGAAATGGTAATCATATTTCCTATAACATATGACTATTTGAATCTCTGTCTCATTTAAGTATTGCAGATATCTCTGTCATAAAGGTATTAGGAAAAAATGGTATTGTGTAAAAATCAGATATCAGATACTTACTGTCTTGGTCAGTGGTGTTATTAGCAGTACCTTCTTGTCCAAAACCTCCATCCGTTTTAGACGCCACATGTACCATGTAAGTAGTATAGGCTTCCAGGCCAGTTATTGAGTATGCTGCACTGGCAATGATTTCCTCTTGACCAACTGCATCCCCTGTCTCGGCTAGAAACCACCTGATGCTGTTATTAGTAATGGGACACAGGGGTCCAGGAGCTGCAGGCTGTGTCCAGGTTACATTCAAGTGGTCTGACACATCTTCCACCATCAGTACTCTTATATTGGATGGTGCTTGTGGAGCTGTGGATGTTAGAGTTACAAAATAACAGTTGTTGCAGTTGTTAGTACTAAAATACATCTACACTATTCCATATTGTCAATGATCATGTTTGATAATTACTGCAACAACTACGGAATCTTCTTTCAACTTCTAGCCTTAAAACCCAACTAGTCTGTAAGCAACTGGAGTTCAGCTTTTGCAAAATATCGATATTAGTGAATAAAAGGACAAAGTTTTGCTTTCCCATGCTTTCACCCTAGCTAACGACCTCACCGTTTATTGCATTATAACGTGGCAATCCTGTGTTTGTTTTAAAATCTATCATGAACTGCCTCTCTCGAAAATCCAGTCATGAGCATTGATCAGCCAATGTACAATGAAGGCTAAGTAACGAGATATTTGGTGTAGCCTCCGGGATCTAAAAGTGTGCATAGCGCAAGAGAATGAATACTTTGATCCTTTGTCTTATGTTTTTTTTTTTTTGTTTTAGGTTTATTGTCAATGCATCGAGTTACTCGTTTGTAAATGTCTACATATCTTGTGGTGGTATCTCTATTAGTAGCAGTGAGATGGTTTTTAAGAACCTTCAGTAGAATTTCATTATAATGACATCCCTTTTCCTTTTGCTGCACATGTGAGTAGATTGATATATTTTTAAGGGTTCCTGGAAGTAAATATGATTTGAAAATCGATTAAAGAAACCGTTACCAAAATGCAACCACAAAATTTTGACAGAAATTAAGGTTAAAACATGCTCTGCAGTTAACTTACGCTTGGCATATGTGTTTCCAGCTTTTTCTCCATACTGGTCCCCATAACCCTCCTCGTTGGCCGTTTTCACAAGGACGCTGTACTGAGCACAAGGATCCAGATCGATAATAGTGTAGGATGAACTGGCAGCGATTTCTTCCTCGCCAGCTGAGCCACCTGTGTCGGCTCTAGACCAGCTGATGGTGTTCTTGGTGATCGGACACAAGGGGCCGGGAGGTGGGGGCTGGGTCCAGGTCACATGCAGACTGTCTGACCTTCTTTCCATTGCCAGTACTGTCACATTGGTTGGCGCTTGAGGAACTGGAGAATTAAAATAATTATATATATATA